CAGTTGAAGCAAAGTGAACCAGGTTGTAGTTGTCGGTCAAGGCAGAAGTGATGTTGATCAACTTAGGACAGTCAATCAAGGAAAAAAGTGACGTCGACGGGTCGGGGAGGTCGTTCAAGGCGCAAATGATGCCAACGGACCAGGGAGGCCAATCGAGGCAGAAGAGATGTCGATCGGCTTGGAACAACCGATCGAAGCAAAAAGTGATGTTGACAGGTCAGGGCAGCCGGTCGAGGCATAAGCGATGTTGATCTGCCCTGGATGACCAATCGAGGCAAAAAGTGTTGATGATCGACCCGATATATAACTCAACCAACCCATAGGGTTCAACGTGCAAATGCGAAATGCACCATGCAATGCTCACACATTTAAACGGTGATTCAAAGCATATGATCATGCTTGATACCAAGCCACGCTTGTGCTAATGATCTTACCTGGGATACCCAGGGTTCAACATTTAGATTTGTGGCATAGCTACCTCTTGTTTTGGCATGACAATGTGAAGCTTCCCCCTCTAATTTCTCGTAAGGAAGTCCTCTACTGTCGTAGGGCAGACTGACTACAATGTTTTTTTTCGTCCTACGAATGCCTGCGATCTCATATAATGGGCTAGCTACAAAGATTTTCTCATTCTTCATGATAGAACTCAACCAACCCCTCTAAGGATGGTTGAGTGCGTCAAAATCGTAGGAAATTGGGATTCCAACCCGTGGGATCAAGGCCTAAGGCTCACAAGGAGGAATCACTCGACTCTGAATATGAATGACCAAGGCATGAGATTCTTAACCTAGGGCTTTCTCTAGGGAAAGCAACTATCCATCACATAGGCGGCACAACCGTGCCAAAAAATCTCAGTATACACATCAACCCCACATGGGTGATCGAACAAGCTGACATCTCCTTTAAAAATACAAAGAGAAATGAACGAAAGTAGACCCTTCACTTTGCCATAAAATATTGGAAGAAAATAAATCAAGTGTAGCTCCTTCATAGAATACTGAATGTAGGCAAATAATGATAGAGTCAACAACTTCAACTCCCCCTCAAGCTCAACCACGACAACATATTCAACCTTGAGTTTATGCCCTTACTCGTAGAGAGCAAGAAGAACCTAATGTTGTCGATGTTGATGCTAAGATGACCTGATGAGTATCATATTTTCTGGCACAAGATATGAATGTCATTCTAATATGTTTCTGTTTAAGAGGGATTGAATTATTTTAATTATGTTTCTTCTGTTCATATTTGAAATTATCCTTGTTATGTTATCTCGTTTCAGCTGATGATGGAACTTAGTTAGTTATCTTGTATGAGATATTTATTTTATTATATCCACTTTTCATCTTAATGTGATATATCATTCTTAATAAAATTTTATGAACAATTCATATATTACCTACACTAATTTGAAACTAAAAATAGAGATGCAAATTTTGAGGACAATAATTTATTAGGAGGGGAAGATTATACCCTTTATGTATAACCCAAGAATCATGAGTCGGGGAGGTGAGGGATTTTCACCTTTACGAGGAGAAACAAAACCCCGTTTCAAACCAGAACAACTTTGACACACTGGGAAACAAGCAATGACCGAATTAAGAGGAAGAGAAAACGATCAAGGCTTTTGAGCCGTTTGATTAAATGATTTGTGGTGTGCAGGGGAGACAATGTTGTTTTCAAGCGAAGAAATGGAATCAACGATGAGCATAAAACATGTGCGAGAGATGAATTGCTCGTAAGAAAGAGGCGGAGGTGAGTCGTGCCATGCTATTTTTTATGAGTTTGGAAGCGCCAATTCGTGAAGGTGATGCTCCTATAAAGGTTATATATATATATATATATTACACACACACACACCACACACACATACATATATATATTAAAATGATATAGATATGTTAATAATATAATAAGACAATTGATATTTGAAACCAACTTGAATGTTTACAGTAGAAAGTAAAAATCATTAAATACTTTTGCTTTGATTTACTTTATGTTTAACTAGCATGTATATTATTTTTTCTTGTTGTGTTGTTATAGTTTAGAATTAAGAGTACTCATTGCTTTTACAACTTACTAGTAATTTAGATCATCTTTTTACGATTACGCTTTTTGTGTTAGGATGAATAATATATAAGATAAAATCTAAAAAAGAATACACTGGCAACTTGTGTTAAGGTAAATTTATCATTTGTTTAATTAATTTTTTAAAATATGTAGTGGCTTTTTCACTTGTAATGGGATTACTAAATGTTAATTATAGACAAGAATAAAAAAATTGATTATAACCATCCGACCGTTTATTCAAATCATCAAAACATATAAACTCATGCATAAAAAGGTAAGTAGAATAAAAATGTGAATAATCAAATCAACTATAACTACAACAAATTTGTATTAAAATAATTATTTTAACGTATTTGATAATTAAATATTTTAAATCATATACCGACTTTAGAATTTAAACGTGACTACATTTAAACACAAATTATCGATTAAAAGAATGATATTGACTAACTTTGATGAACATAAACCAAAATTTGACATTGAAACAATAAAATACTTCTATTAGCTCCAAATCCATCTCTATTTCATTGTTTAATATTAGCCATAGCAATGTCACAAAAAAAAGTTTAAACATGTGATAAAACACTAAGGGCGCGTTTGTTTCGGTTGTGGTAGTATGAAATCTCAGTTAAAAAACTATTATAGAAAATTCATTACTCAAAAGATGATATTTTAGAAGTACATGATTTGACTCATCATAACCCCCTCACCCCATACAATAAAAAATGGATTCCAACTCCAATCTCAGATCTCTTTGTGAAATGTTCAAAATGTAGTGACTTTGATTGTATGGTACATGAAAAGCGAGTGATTTCTTTTATTTGTATGGTATATTAGATTGGAAAGGAAATCACTCGCTTTTCATGTACCATTACTCTATGCGTCTGAGTGAAAAACCCAACTCATCAAATAATGTCTTTAGAATATCCAATAATCCCTCGAGAGATCAAATTCAACTTGAGCCACCCTAATTTGATTTTGATCAACACATGTTTTATTTCGTAACATAATTGCCATATAAAAGCAATTACCAAAAAAATATAATGACCCTCAACTCCTCCAATACATTGACAAATTATTAGTATCACGATCAAGCTTAGAAAACCAAGACAATACAACCCATGATAAATATCTCTTAATAGTCTAAAACATGTTCACTTAATGCATACAATACTTAACCTAATCGAAGATCAGAATAGCACAAGTCCTCAACAAGCCATCATCGTAACCTCAAACAACACGTGACAGTCAACAAACCAAACGAACATCAAACCAATTAATAACAACATAGTTTAATGGATAACTCAAATGCACAAACCAAAACAATCTTCTGCATAACCCCAATAATCAACAACCACCATCATAAGACCGATAAACAGAAGGCATACAACAAACTGAAAAGAACAACAAACCGAGAAAAAAACAAAGAATGGAACAACAAAACCAAAGAACAAAAAACCAAAATTATACCATTTCTCATCACAAAACCAAAACACAACAGGCATTTTAACACCAATTTGTCACCGCTAAACCAAAGAACTACAAGACCAAACATAAACTAACTCATCCATAAAAGCTATAGCATCAAAACCGCATATCAGAATAGGTGGAGGAGAGGGAAGAGCTCAACCCTAACTTCAGATTCTCAACAAAAATGAGGAGAATAACAAGATGAGAAGTTTAGCTTTCGATATGTTTGGACGAGACAAACAACTGAACGAACAAGAGGAATCAAAACATGGAGAGAGAGAGAGAATGATGCATGGAAAATAGGTAAAAATGCAAGTAGAAAGACCGGTTGCATGCAGAAGTCACAGTCTCAAAACATAGATATTCGCAATCTACATTCAAGTTGCCCCAAACATACCCTTATCACTATAATATCAATGAAATTTCAAGTTCCCATCTTCGAGGCTACAATGTTTCCAATATATTATTAAAACCGTTTAAGCTCCCCCTTAAATATTTTATAAATAATTATATTATTAGACTTATTATGTTTTTTTTTTTGTAATATTAATATAAATAAAAATAATTTAGTTATCTATATAGCACAATATTATTATATATTTATAGATATGAGATAAATATTTACAATTTTATAAAACAAGTTATTGTCCAAATCATATAAAATGAATATATAAATAAAGTTGCTATTTTATTTTATATAAATTAATAATAACAAATTTAATGTGATTTAAATCATGTTTTATAAAATCTATCAAGTTTTCATATTAAATACAATATTATGTAAAACCTTCTACAAACTTTTTAATAATATAAATCTGTATGACGACAGAGATTCAAGTAGTGTGAATAGAAGCATCCTCAGACAGAAATCTGACACTGCAAAATGTAGATAATGATCGATACCGTTCATTATAGGTCGATAAACGGTGGATATAACATTTCCCGAGGAACGTTTCCCTTTTATTAAACTGGCTGTGAGGGCTAGGGCTGTCAAAACGGCTCGTTGTTCGCGAACAACTCGTGTCCGGCTCATTAATTTCGTTCGATAAGTTAACGAGCCAAACACAAACTAAGATGTGTTCGTTCGTGTTCGGCTCGTTTTGGCTCGAAATACTACTCATCAAGTTTATATATATATATATATATAAAGTAGTATTTTAAAAAAATCTAATTGACTAACACGCTACAAAGATTTATAAACAATTAAAATATTGATTAAAAAATATAATAAAAATTATAAATTAGATTCAAATGATATTTTAATATAAATAATAATTTTTAAATCTTGCTCAAATACTTATTGTTTTATGCCTACATGATTAGGATTGTTAAAATGACTCGTTGTTCGTGAACAGCTTGTGTTCAGCTCTTTAAACAAACGAGCCGAACACTAACACATTTTTTTAGCTCAAAATATAAACAAGCGGACCAAGACTCTTATTCTACTTGTTTACACCCGCACTTTTGACATTTAGCCAATAGTCGAGTCAGCCATTTAATAACATTTGTCGCTCCGAAGTTCCAGCGCTATTTCTTCTGTTTGAAGATGGCCGAAGTGGTGATGGAGACCACTAATCCATGTAAGTTCTGCAGATCCTGGTTTTGTAACTTTTCACTCTTCGTCCTTAATTTTTTCAAGATTTTGTATGAAATTTTTTTATTTGATTGGCGTACTTTTTGGCCAAACCCTAGCTATTTCCCCTTCCTAACACACTTTTGCTTCCTCTTTCTTAGCCACGGAGATGTCAACCGTTGCGGCGGAGCCATCGCGTGTAGGTGAGCTTTGAAAAATTATTGTTTTTGTGTTATCTGATCCGAATGTTCTGTTGTGGTTTTTTGTTTTTATGGCATAAGCTCTTGATTGGAAGTTTTGACGTGCATTTATTCTCATCTCTTGAGTTTTTTTATAGGCTTTTGATGGGGGGTGGTTCAGGGTTATTATTGCTAGTTTTCAGAAGTTGAGGTTGACTTACACCGACTAGCTTGTCGTGCTTTCCATCACGATTCCTCTTTCACGAACGTTTCAGAAAGATTTATGTATTTTATTTTGTTTTTGGTTATGTTTTGATAATCTTTTGCCTGTGAGATGAAACTTGTTAGTTTATATTTTCTGTTGGTGTTGTTTTGGTCAAGCTTTAAAAAGCAACTAAAGTTTTTTTGCTTTAATGAGACTAGATGCAAAGCCTCTAGCTGGGAAGATAAATTAAAATAAAAATAGTTCATAAACACACCATAAATCGTGTTTGGCACTGTTGGCATGCTTCATCATTTAAGTGTCCGCTGCCTAAATGATCTTCAGTCTTTTAATGCCCTCTTGTGTTATTAAATTTATCTTTTAAACAAATATCTCGTTTTCAAAACCTTTGTTTGGTTAATCTTTTTGAGCTGTCATATTTTGAAGTTGTATTTTTTTTATTACACCAAACATTATAATAAACTAAAAAAAATATTAGACATTAAGTCATGCAATCAACAAAAAACTAAATACAAATAAAAATAATAAAAAAAAAACAAAACTTTTAAAAGCAATAAAAAGATAGAACTAAAAGAAGAAATAAAAAATACTGTAAAAACATATAAAGGAATGTCAAAATATTGAAAAGAAAATTCATACTAGCAAGATACAAAAAATTTAGCAAACATATAACATAATAAATATTTTTTAAAAAATAAATAGAATAAAGCGTAAGCCTCACTATGACCATTAAAGTGTGAGCTTTGAGATAATTCTTGGGTGCCTCATATTGTGGTGCACTACGAATATTTTTTAATCCATGTTGTGATTATTATTAGAATTTACAAGTAAAATTTTTATGAGCTCCTTAATGATTTAATTCTTTCCTTTTTTTTTTTGAAAATTACTTGTCCATAATTTTATGGGTGTTTGGATGAAATTAGTATTTATTAGGTCCTGTAAGTCCAGATTTTCTAAATCCCGAGGACATTAAATTTTTAAATATGTTTGGTATGAAATCCATAATTTTAAGGTGTTTGGATGAAATTAGTATTTATTAGGTCTTGTAAGGCCAAATTTTCTAAATCCCGAGGGCATTAAATTTTTAAATATGTTTGGCATGAAATCTATTAAACTCGACTAATTAGAGCTAAGCCATTTTGATTTTTTGTTTCAAGGTTTAGGATTTAATTGGATATGCTTCCTACCTAGGAACCTAAAAAAAGGCTAGAAATTAGTGTCAAGCATGATAACAATAAAATATAATACAATGAAGATATTTATGTAGATTATAATTTATTAAAAAAAGGTATTAATAATTTAGAGTTTTATTGTTAATTACGATATTGATCAACTATTGTGCAACAATCTCTTCTCTGCATTTCCTGACTAAAATACTTAACCATGCTTAAGAATTTTGATATTTCAAGTAACAAACTCACCAACAAAATGCCATTAGAGCTCAAAACATTTGAATGCCTCTTATTAATTTCAATGACAACGACATAGAAGAAGAGGTAATTGCTAGCGAGGAGGTTGGGTATAGGGATGTTGCAATGGAGGGAAAGGCTGATAAGAGGCGATTGTAGGAGGGAGTTTGCCTCAAAGAGAGATCGCGAGAAGAGATTAGAGAAAATGGGAATGTAGAGAGGGAAGGCATTTGGTGGGTTTCGGTTGATGAATAGATTGGAGAATATGGAATGAAGAGAGGGAAAGAATCTAGTTGTGTCGTGATACTTCGTTACCGTGTTGTGTTGTTTTGTTAGAAATAGTCACCACAACTTTTTTAAAGATGAGATGTTGCTCAACAATTGCGTTGCAATGATTTTAAAGTTGTGGAGGTACATGTATGAGATGGATCTTTAACTGGATCTTTCCATCATGAACTAAATTTGCAATATTTTAAGTGTACTACCACATAAGGTCTTAAGGATATGGGGGTTGATAAAGAGAGAGATTACAATGATGGAAAACTCTTCTTGAAATTTTGTTGTATTGGGCATAAAGACATGGTGGGGTTGTTGATGCAATATAACCCGTCTTCAACACATATTAGAATACAACATTTTAGCTATCGTCAAGGCCATAGGGGAGAAAAGTAATGGCAGTGTGGGATAAGGATGGAGGCCAACTGCACATTGACATAATATTAATTGGCAAACAAGGCTTTATAGACAAACGTCTAGCTGTACCTCGAGCCACATATGTAGTTGATTCACTTTTTTCCTTGAGTTTATATCCAATTTTTGTTGATTCTTCTATTATTGAGTGGATGATACATAGCATTTGTAATCTTTTTGTCCTGCCTATATTTTATCATTTTCGTCCATTTAGGTGCCCAATTGCACTTTTGGGAATTCAAATCAAGAGGTTTTCTCTCTAACATCGGGCATTGAGCCATTTGGTGCTATTAATCACTTGATATGCATAGATTAATGGAGTAAACACAACCAATGCATTATAGCCATACATTTAGCAACCCTTCAAATTTTGGTTGAATTGCCTATTTTTGATTGGAGAGATAACGACTGTAATCTTATCTTCTTGACAATATTTTATCATCCTCTCCCCCTTTTTTTGCCCAATTGCTCATGGATTGATTTCCAATTTTCGTTGAATTGCCTATTCTTGATTGGATTAAACATCCTCTTGACAATCTTTTATAATTTTCTTTCCATTAGGCGCCCAATTGTATATTTGGAAATTCAAACGAAGAGATTTTTTGATAAAATCATGCATTGGGCCACCTGGTTCTATTAATCGCTCTAGAAGTTTAGATTAATGGAGTAAGCACAACCGATGCATTATAGCTAAACTTATAGTTGCCCTTAGAATCATGAGTATTGTAAAGCCAAATAGCTCGTAAATCATCTATCATGGTTTAATACAGGTCCATGATTCCATTGCGTTCTACGAAATGTGAGAAACATGTTAATTGTTAACCTATATCTTGATTGTCTTTTTTTACATTCAGATTGCTTTATGGAGGCTTGTTAGTTGACATGATTTGCAATGCATAGGGCAAGAGTACTTCCCTTTAAAAAGTTTTATTGGTGACCACTTTGTTTCTCGGTTATAATTTATTTTTCCAACTTTGACCATCATAAGCATGTTGCAAACTCATGTTAAAGTTGTTGGCACTTAGCTATTAATCATGCCAAAAAAGGCTTCACTTTAGGGCTTCAATTTTGGAAGAAACTACCACTCTCAAAGATGCTTGATAATGTGATCAACTTCGCATTATTGAAAATCAAGTTATGTCTAGACCTTTAATTACTTGATGGTTATAATTTCTTTTTTCAACTTTGACCATCATAAGAATGTTGCGGACTCATGTTAAAGTTATTGGCACTTAGCTATTAGTCATGCCAAAAAAGGCTTCACTTTTGGGCTTCCATTTTGGAAGAAACTACCACTCTCAAAGATGCTTGATAATGTGATCAACTTCGCATTATTGAAAATCAGGTTATGTCTAGATCTTTAATTACTTGATTCAATGGTTGTCCCGACTCACTTTTCTTGTTTAAAAAGTAGCGGAGGCAAGGGTCTAATATTTTTGAGTTTTGTGGCGATGATGGTTGTATATGAATTAGAATGCAGTTTATTCTGAAGTTTGAGGGAGTGGGAGTGATACTGGAGGAGACAACCCAAATCATAAAAATAATTTCTATTAATAGGAAAATCGGGTTATAACACACACAAACTGAAAGCAACATTACCAAAACATTAAATGACACGAACAAATACCTCAAAATTGTATACCAAGGGCGGTGGAGGTTTTCAACGTTGGGTGGATCGGGATGGTTGGCAAGTGTGGTGGGAGTGAGGAGAAGGCGCCGAATTGCTAGGATATCATCTATGAAGGCGGCCGGCGACAGGCGGATTGGTGCTGGAAGGTGCTGAACAACAAGGGCAGCGATGGGGAAGACCTGAGACAACTAGATAGCTGCTATATGGGTGTTGATGGGATGTCGGGAGAGTCCGAAAGGGGTGGACAACAAGTTGCTGCAGTAGAAAGAGCGTTGGCAGTGCAGGGGGAAGCTGTGGGGGTGGTCAACAACTAAGGAAAGTGGAGGAGAAGAAGTAGGGAAGATAAAATGGGAGATGCAATCACCATCTTAGAGTAAGATATAATCGGAGCACCACCACCTCCTCAGATGCAACCTTACGAAAGTAAGAAGGGCTTCCACGCAGGAAATCTAAAATCAAAACAAGAAAGACTACTAAACTTTTAGCAAACTAGCATACATATAGCCCTAGCTCGGCAGGAACAAGAAAGGAAAGAATAGGAAAGGAATGAGGAGAAAAGGGCTAGGCGACAATGTCGTCTCCCCCCAATCCCACTCAATCTGGGCAAGAGATGCGAAAGTAAAGGCCGCACGGGCCGCTTGATGCCGCTCGACCCTCTGGATGGAGCGGGTCACTTAGACCGGTCCCCTATGCTAGCTGGTTCAGTTGGATGGTTTGCTTCCAACAATCGTGCGGGAAACTCCTGTTCCTGAGTCCATGCATGGAAAGCTCCGCGTCATCTCCCGAGGTTGGGGGAGTTTCGACCTCATTTGTCGTAGCTTCTGGCTCTTCGTGGCATGGCGTCAAGTTCTCAGCACGTCAAACAAGTAGACGTGGTTGTTCCAAAGTACATTATGATAGAAGAGATATCCATATATCCTTGGCACGACTTTAGTTAGAACTGTAGAAGAGGGGTGCAATTGAGAAACAATTAAGTATTGGCTATATCATGCTAGGCGTAGTTATGGATTAACAACTAAAGCACTCAAATTTATTGAAGTCTATTTTTCTAATGCCACGATTTGGGTATAAAGACTTAAGCTGCAACAATGTTTTTGTAAGTTTCCATAGGAGTGATTCGACTTGGATGTTTTGTTTTATGTAATGGCTCAATTTGTGCTACCCATCATTTAGATCTAAGCTTGGTTGGTTTATGACCGGGATCACTGGGGTTCTCTTTGATGTGATTGCTCATCTAAATAATCTTGCGGTTCTAAGGATGTTTAAGAACACTCACTCCTCAACTATGAAGTTGGTGATGAGCCATATTAATTTATTTCATATGCGCTGCATCCATCGGCTGGATAGGATTACTTTGTGCTGTCGGAGTCAATAACTCATTATTAGTAATGATGAAGAAGAATATAGCAGTACAATATTAACGAGTTTTATGACTTGAGTAAATGAAAACTTTTCAGTTATTAAAGGAAAAAACAGATAAATCTTGTCACTATTCACTTACCTTTTTTCCAAAAATAATGTAATTGATTGTAGAGCCAAAAATGAATTCGAGGTAAATTGATTATATACGAGTTGGCATGCCTTGAAGAAATTATCCATGCCCATGGCCTATGGAGAGTAGTGGCATCATCCTCTGGGCGAATTGGATTGAAAAGATACAAAATACTATTGAGAATAACATTGTTATATGATGTTTAAGAGACATATAAAGATGTGTTCAAATATTCGTTAGAAGATGATACTTTGATAGGAGTTTTCTAACTATTGTTGAGTTGTAAAACAAGGAGTAAGGTGTTGGGGATGAAGTTTGTGTCAAGGGCATCTCCTTGTCAGGGCACAATTCGTTAGAACGCCCTTGATTGCTAATATCTACGAAGATGACGGTGAAGAGGAGGAGGATAACAAATTAGAAGAAGATGAATTATAGTAATAATACAGAGATAAAAGAAAGTTGTTTCTTGGAAAGCTCCTAAAGAGAAACTTGCATGAAAAGTTTTCCGCAACACCTCATTCTTCTTAAAAAGGCTCCCATCTTGAAATGGTGATGAGTCATTCTTAGAGAAGTTAGATCGCCATGTTTTTAGTTGCTTTTTTTTTGTTATAACAATCAACATGGAATCTTATCACGTCTTAATGAATAATTTTCATATAATTATACTCATTAGAGGACCACATATATGATTTGATATGACAAGACATTGCACAAAATTTCATGCTTTTAACTTGCCTCTTTTTGAAGGTTCGATTGATTGGATTTTATCCATGCCCCAAATGACTTGCCTACTTTACTTATCTACATGAGTTACTTTTCTATCCAACTCGATGTTTCATATCCTATTAGTCTTGAAGTTTCTTTTATTTTTTATTCCTGCAGTTGACAATAAAAGTTAACAATCTTGTGGTTTTAAAAAATTTTGATGCTTTGGACACTTGTTGATGAGAGAATTTTTGTTTGTTGTTTTAGGTCAAATTTTCAGAAGGCTGACTGATTGTAAATGAGACAGTGCTCAAAGATTTTAACCTCTTTTTGTGAGGGCTTTTTGATTTGGGGTTCAAGGTTTTCCATAAGCGCAAGCTCTTATGGTTAATTACTCATTCTGATAACAAAATATCACTTTCGATTAAGGCTAGTCATTAGCGTTGAATATCCAATATATAATAACAACAAGCTTAGGGTTTTATTTATAAAATTTATTATCTGGAGCTTAAAGTGAATGGTGGGGAAACGTTGATGAACTTGATTAAGATCGCTTGATTCCATTGTCTAGTGTAATCATGGTCCTTGATTTATTTAGTCAGAGGAGGTAGTCGAGCCAACTTGATTGATAAATGCTTGCTAGCAATCATGAGTTGCATCATCCAAGATAGATCTGTGATGGATGTTTGTCTAAAAAGATAAATTTAAGTCGATCTTAGCTAACAGAAAGATCTTTGCTAATCAATTGTACACATATGGTTGACACCTCGAAGGATAAAAAGCCATTGAGGAAGATGGGTGTTGCGGTTGTGACCATAATATAATAGTACTACTTTGGGGTTACTACTAAGTCAGAGGACTCGGGCTAAACCATGCAAACAAAGTACAAAATAGACATATTGCATGAATGCAATTTTTGTGGAGCCATTTCGTTTTTGATAGTATATTTAATGATATACTCGATGTGATATTCATTATTTTTAAGTTGAAATTAATTAAAAGTTTGGTACCCTTGACAAGTTGTTACGGAGGGCGGATAAAATTTATTTTGTCTTTTAAATGATTAATTTAAACTTGTATATTTTTGTTGGCTATTTTTAAAAATTGATTTAAAAAATTAAACTCCTATAATTGAAATTTTCTATCAACTCGGTCATCATCATAGATTTGAATATTTAAAATAGTTGCGTTTGAAATTTATTTGAAACTCATCAATTTTGTTATCTTTAGAATACTGATCCTATCAACTCCAGTCCTAATGAAGAGGGCAATTAGAATGATTGATTTGGGCTTGCAAATTTTTATATATGTGATTTGTACATCATTGAAATTTATTAGACTTGTCAACTTTGGTTCTTTGTAGGAAGAGGATCATAGTTGTTAGGTGAGATTTACAATTTTACCCTATAAACGAGGTGTCTCGTGCGGATTTATAGTTTGGGATTTTGCACACATTTCAACATTCCCATATAATGTATTTTGTCATTAAAGGTATTATAACATGAGGTTTAGTGCATTTAGAATGAGTAATCACATAATATTTTATGTTCCTCCAAGGGAGGATATAATATTTGAAGAATTCGTGAGATGCCAATGCATATTTTTAAATATTCACACATTTTTGAGGTCTCGAATAAGACAATACTTGAAACACAAATGCAAGATTTAAAAAATTATTTCGAATTTTAAATGCATGCTTGGATCGCACACAAAATTCTATTTTGGGTTTTTAATGAATCATTTTCTATTCGCTAATAAACATTACGAATTCGGTGGTGATTGAGCATACAAACTCAAAGTTTAACATTTAAAATGACATGTATATGTTTGAATTTAGCCCTGATTTATGCATTCGTAATAAGTCAATTTGTGAGTACCTAAGTTTAGCTCTTGATTAAGCTTAGCCTTAATTTATGGTATTTCATATTTAAGTCAGTTAGTTCACCGATAGACATAGGCCCAATCAAGCTTATCCCCAATTTAGGATGTTTCATATTTGAGTTAATTTGTCAGCTCCTAAGCTTAGTCCCAATAAAATTTACCACAATTTATGTATTTAAATAGATCATGTAAATATTTATTTGCATTACACTTGGATTCTTATTTGTTCACTTTCAAATACAATCCGATTTGAAACTTTAATTTACAATTCATGTTTTCTTTTATTTTTCATTTTTATATCATTTCAAACTCCGAATAATTTATTTTTTTTAAAGCATTTGCAAATCCAAAATCATCATAAATTTCGGCAGTCTCCCGACTTTTTCCCCGTTTAGGAGGCTGCATCAGAGTGCCTGACCTGCACAGTTGTCTATAAGATGCACTGGTTAGTGTCATGAGACACTTTGACCCTAGGGGGTTTTCTAATCCACTGGTCTATAAGACGAGTGTGGGTCTATATGACCAATAAGATTGCTAGAAGGAGGAGATCTTGATGAACTGGTTAATCTGGTTTGGACATGTTGCCTCATGACTCATTTGTATGCTAAATTCAACATTCTTAGTGCCATCATAATTGCCACAACAAACAGCAATTTGGGCTATAAATTTATAAAGTTTTGGGTCTATTTAGCTCTCTAAATAACTTGTGAAATATTGTTGGTTAACCATTTGAGGTATTTTTGAGATCCAGAATTTTTGTAAAAATTCATGTTTTATCTTATCAACGGGTCTTTTAATGATCCCAACAGTAATAATATTCTTAATGGCGCTGTACCAATATGCAGCTAGGACTGTAATCAAGTTGAGTATTGTCATTCTCAAGATTTTTTATAGAATTGTTCTTTGCTGAGCTCAAACATGAATAAAGTTTCAGATTCTTTTTAAAGCTTGTTTAATTATTTTCAGCGAATCTTAAACTGCATTCAAGCTCTAATAGAGCTCAACTATAGGTAAACAAGTGACTGATATGTTCATATTTTCAGCCATATAATAGGTTTATGCATATTTGTTCAAATGTTTAATTTAATTCAAATTTATGTTTAATTTTTAATGAAATAGCATAATTAGAAGTTAATCGCTTGAAATGCCTCAAGTTTAATTTGCTTTTTGGTTGAATTTCATTTTTATGCTTCTTTGTAAAGTCTTAAATGAAATGACTGTTTTTTTGTCCTTGTAAAAAGGAATTACGTCATATTTTACATTAGGTAATATATTTGGGTGGTGTTACATGAGATGATCATACTGCCTGTACTCATTGAAATTCCCTGCCTTTTGTAGGATTTAATGTAAAAGAAGACATTACTATAGAAAGTACGGCAATTGCGCATGCTGCCTCTACTCATTGAAATTCTCTGCCTTTTGTAGGATTCAATGTAAAAGATGACATTACTGTAGAAAGTACGGCATTTGCGCATGCTGAACCCTCACCAGACAACTCGGGTCCACCCAGGATTGACTCTGACAAGGAGGTCCTTCACGAGAAAGTAACTAAACAAATCATAAAAGAGGGTCATGGACAAACTCCCACAAAATTTGCCACTTGCTTCTGTAAGCGTTATATAATTTTCTCTTTATAATTTCCATGTAATGTTTTTGCAATTAATATGAAAGTCTTTTGTTATGCTGAATCACCAAGAAACACAAATTTTAGAAGTATTGTTTATAGAATACCATTTCCGTTCTACTCCCTGGTGCTTGTTTTAATTGGTTTTGCCATAACATAAAAAGTTGTATTTAACAGCATTGTAGTTTTTCTCTCGTAATACATTCGTGAAAAAATTAGAATAGTCGGCAGTCTGTTGTCTTATATTGCTTGTTACATTGGAGTAGAGTTTTGTGATGTGGCAGTGCACTATAGGGCATGGGTGGAGAAAACTTTGCACAAGTTTGAAGATACATGGCAGGAGCAACGGCCCGTTGAACTTATCATAGGAAAAGGTATATCTGCATCTTCATTTTTATTCATTTGCTGCTTCAAAAACTCTAATGTGACATGCAATCTGACATTGTCATCTTCTCTAACCCCAATAATTTCAAAAGTCTTGGGTACATTTTAAGTGATGGTTGTGCGAGGTGCTTGCTTGAGTGAACTAGGAAAAAAAAATTATATTGCTTATAACCATAATTTTTTTATTGATTATAATTCATATTCTTTACCCAAAAAAACATGCTAAAGGCAAACATGACAAAGCAATGAGATTTGAATGACAGCTCATTAAGAGATGCAAGCACAGCAATGTAAGAAATGCTATTGTGCCATTCCTTAACAGTCCATCTTTTTTTCATTTTTTGTTGAAAAAACTATTGGTGTTATTGCTTAAATTCTTCACTCTTGTTGATTAATATCAGAGAAAAAGCAAATGGTGGGATTAGGCATTGGTGCTGCAAGTATGAATAGTGGAGAACGTGCTTTGTTACATGTTGGCTGGGAACTTGGTTATGGGGAAGAGGGAAGCTTTTCTTTCCCAAATGTGCCACCATCAGCTGATCTGCTGTATGAAGTTGAGCTTATTGGCTTTGATGAAGTTGAAGAAGTACGTCTCTATTTTTCGTCTGAGAGTTGCATGCTGATCTGTCCTGCTATTTGCATGGTCATGTGCATTTTGACGAACTTGGGTTTGAAATATCTAATGATAATTTTAATTGACTTTGATAATTAGGGGAAAGCTAGAAGTGATATGACAGTTGAAGAACGGATTGGAGCAGCCGATAGGAGAAGGATGGATGGTAATGCTTTATTCAAGGAAGAAAAGTTGGAAGAGGCAATGCAACAGTATGAAATGGTAAAGACCTCGAATTGTCCAGTTTCGTATTATTTTCTTTTTCATTGGTTTCTATTATAACTTCTTCACAAGAAATGAATAGAGTTTCTCTTGCTGTTAGGCTATAGCATATATGGGGGATGACTTCATGTTCCAGTTGTTTGGAAAATTCAGAGACATGGCTTTGGCGGTGAAAAACCCATGCCATCTCAATATGGCTGCTTGTTTGATCAAGTTGACACGATATGAAGAAGCCATTGCCCAATGTAGCATTGTACGTATGAATGTTGAACTTTTATGGGATTTGCATCGATGAATTTTAATTTTTCTAAAATTAGAAATTTGTGTTAATCGGAAGTGCTACTGGAGTTTAACCAAAGAGAATGATTTGATCTATCTTTCTATCTCTCTCTCTCTCTCTCTCTCTCTCTCTCTCTCTC